GGGAAAGGAGCTCCCGGGGTGGAGCCCAGGCCCAGGGCTGCAGCCGCTGCACCCCGCCTTCACCACCCCAGGGTCGGGGTCCTGCGCGCACCTGGAGAGGGGGAACCGAGTTTTTGGAGGACCTGTGCAAAGGGGCGCGGGACTCATTACCGGTCAAGGTTTCTCCTCTGCAGCGCGCCTCCCTCCCGGAGACAGCGATGGAGCGTCCCAAACCCAGAGCCTTGGCCGTGACCCTGCAGGGGCCGGTCCTTAAATCACCTGAAATCGGTGACAATTCACGGGGCGGGGCACAGGAGACAGGAACAGCCCAAATAGGCTCGCTTCTGTAGACCGGAACCCCGCTTCTGCGAGGACAGCCGCCTTGGTGATCTTTGGTGGTTGGGGGTGGAGTGTTGTTTCATTATGTTTTCCAATGAGCGGGGCAGTACTCGCCCCATCCAGGGAGGGATTTTCCCGAGCAGCCCCACCTCCTCTCGCCCTGCCCGGACGCCCCAGCTGCCCGCGGGCCACAGGTCTCTCTCCCCAACGCCTCCAGCCGGGTTTGGGGCTGGAATTGCGGGATCGGTCTCCCCGACTCTCCCGGGGGAGCGAGGAGTTGGCAGCGGGGAGTGTCACCGCTTGCTAGAACACCCTCAGGATCAGGCGATGGTGTTTTGGTGAAAGAAAAGGGGAAATGTCCTTTTGATTCACCTGCCCACTGCAGGCTTGCTCACACCCCAGCCTTGTCCAAGACTACCGTTCTCCATGTGTTCATCCTAATTTTATTACCAAGAGTGTTCTGGGCGGAGGCGGGGGGCGGGGCGACGCCAGGCCAAGGCGGGTGGGAGCCAGGAGCCCTGCCAGTCGCCCCACAGATCAGGCACCGGGCCTCGAGTAACTATATAAGCCTGGAGCTACTGTGGACTATCTTCTCTAGCACATGGGGAGAGGCTACCAGAAAATAAGGTCAACCCAGAGGAAATCAAAGCCAAGATATCGGGAGGGAGGATGAAAGAGATAAGACACCCGCCTAAAAAATAATGTTGGTGACAGTATTTGAACCCTGGATCTAACAACTCCAGCCCTTTCCCTGGATAGACAAGCTGTATGAGCCAGTGAAATTGTTTTTCTTAAAGTACTTTGAGTTGATCTCATTTAAATTCATCATGTTCATCTTGCTTGGAAGACTTACCCAAACAAATTGCAAAAATTGTGTCACACTGTTGAATGTGAACCATATTTCCATCATAGTTGAGCGATGGGATGGGAGATGGGGCTGGGACAGGGCACTGCAGCTAAAACATACAATTCTAGGCAGCTTTACTCAAACAGTGTGGGAGAGAGAGGAAGAAAAGCAGCACAGATCAACATCCAGATACAATAGCACTACCTTTATATTCACACACCTATAAGGCCCTACCTTACCACACAACTCCTTTTTCAAAACATAAAGAACTTCAGCCCATTATCCTGGCCTTTGGAATGGGTACAGAAAGAATGATCCAACCTGTCTTCCAAATTACAGATAAAAATTATTCTAGGAATTTCTATAACATGACAGATACAGGGAGCAAGAGAGCCAATGGAACAGACACACTAAAATTACAGATAAAAATTATTCTAGGAATTTCTATAACGTGACAGATACAGGGAGACAGGGAGCAAGAGAGCCAATGGAACAGACACACTTTGGGCGAAGGAGAAGATTTACAACTCAGGGAACAACCAAGTATTTTTTTACATGGAGACTTCATTGTCACCACCACGATCCCTAGATGAACTGACATTCCAAGAGTTCCCTGCTCAGGACTCTGCACAATATAGGATCAGCCCCAGCATCCCTGGTGGGCTCCTGGCTAAGACACTGGCTTAATGAAGCCATAATCCATGCACTTGATGAGACATTCCCGGGCTGTCTGAATCACCGCTGCCCTCTTCTCGTCCGGTTCCTGTTTGCCCACCACAGTCAGGATCTCCAGCAGCTCACTCTCCACCAGCTTCTTGGCCAGCTCAGCATCAGCCTGCAGCAGGTTGTAGGCAATGACCAGGCCCCGGTGTTGGACAGACAGCTGGTCATGCAGGCAAAGCCGTTGTAGGATCTCCAACCACTGAGTTGTCTGGAGCGGGGAAGATGGATAAGGAAGGATTAGAGGAATCAGTGGGTGGACAGAGAGAGGAGATTTTGGACAAGATAAATAGAAGGCATTGGCCAGGCCCAGATTCTGGGCTCTGAAAGGGCAAGTGAGCAGGGACTCTGGTCATGTGTGTATGGGACTCAGAATATACGTACTTGGGCCCCTTGGGACCAACTGCATGGTACCCATCTTACCAGAACCCGAGCAGGAATTGGAGAACTAGAAGGAATTTGAAATAATCCAATTCCTTTCATTTTATAAGTGGAGGAACTGAGGTCCAGGGAGGGAAAGTAACTTAGCCATCTATGGTCACACATCGGGAAATAGTAGAAAATAAATATCCACACATCCATTTCTTTTTTAAGCATCTTAAGAAGCAAAGGGACAGGCTCACTGCATGCCTGAGCAGAATGAGGGTGGAGGGTCTCAAAGAGGAGGATTCTAATGCTGGGCACAAGGTCAAGGCCTATTTCTGCTAACCCAGGTGCCCCTTGAGACAGGAGCTCCAGGTATGCACTCCACCAGCCTTGACTTCAACTGGATCAACACTGGAGTTGGAGTGTATCCTCTCTTCCATCCCTCCTCTCTCTCTCTCTTTCTTTCTCTCTCTCTCTTCCATTCTCAGGTGTGAAGCATCCCAACCATTGTGCACGGGGAAGACAGGACTCTAGATCCCTCTGACAACCCCAGGAGACAGAGATGGAGCTGAGAATAAAACCAGGAGGCTTGGCTCTTAATCATTCAACAGACATACGTGGGAAGCAGAGTAGTATAGTTATCAGCATGGGTCTTGGAGTCAAAAAGGCCAGTGTTCAGGTCCCAGCTCAGCCACTTACCAATGGTATGACCTTGGCTAAGTTATTTAACCTCCGCAAGCCTCAGGAGATGATCCGTGGAAAGAGCTTAGCATGGGAGCTGGAGCATAGTGAGAGCCCAACAAATGAAAGTGGACAGGAATGATGATTTCAGACACTAACCCAAAGATTTCCTCTGTGCTTCCTTGTACCTGTCACCCCACCCTCCCTTAGTAAGCAGGAATACCTTTCTACATACACTGCTCTGAGATGGGGAGAGGACAGGGGGGAAGAAAAGGCAAATTCTTGACTTCTGAGCTTCTAGGTAGACCTTTGCAAACTCCACACTGAGTCTCCTACCACAAAAAAAGGAAAGGAATACCGGGGTCCAGCCCCAGTGGTCCAGGGGTTCCCAAAGGTGTGGACGGAGTCGGCGAAGAATGTTTTACGCGGAGACAGCGTTCAGAACTCTCTAGCTCTCTTTAGTCTCTGTGGATCTTCCTGTGCCTGGCTGAGGCCACAGAGAGAGATCCTGAGGCAAGCTGAGCCTTTATTTTTATAGTCAGAGGTAAACAAGGTAGTGGTTACCAAAGTTACACTGTTCTTGTGAGTTTCACTTGTTTTTGTTCTTGTTGCACTTCCCTCAGCCCATTAGCAGCCCCGGTAAGATCTAGGGAGCGTCATAAGGTCAAGCCTAATTATGCTTAAGAGGACTGTGCCCTCTAAGCTGGGACTTGTTTGTGTCTTTGCCAACAGGTCAGTCCGAGGCTTAATCCTGTATCGGCTCCCCACAAAAGAAAGTTCAGCTAGCTGTGGTAGGGTTCAGGGAAAGATTCAATGCTGGTGGACGGACTGATAATGGGTCCAGTGTCCATTAGTCCCTGGAATGAGCCACTGGGGGTGAAAGGAAGGGTGATGATCCTATTGGGATAGGATCCCAGCAGAAAAAGCTGTTGCCTGGCTTCGCAGGGCACATCCCAGCAGGAGTGAGACTTAGAGAGGCCCAGCATCCAACATGGCCCCAGGGTTGTACCAAAGATGGGTCTGGCCAGCTTCAAGGAGTCATCAGGATGCCATTGTGACTAGGATCACATCTTGGTTTTTGTAATAATGCTAGCAGAGTACACACAAGAAGAAAAGTAACTGCACTAGATGATAAAGACTGGGGTGGACCTCTTTCTTAATGTCCAGTGTCCTTTGTCTTAAAATTTGGTGTAACATGTAAAAAAAAAAAAAAGGATGCCATTGTGGGGACAGGAAAGCAGCCAATATCTCTGAGCCCCTCAGGAAGAAGGGAGACGTGGCCAGGAGTGGGTCAGCAATCCTACAGGATTCCAATTCCTTCCCGACTAACTAGCTGTGTGGCCTTGGGCTACTTTTCTGCACTCAGTTTCCTCATCGGTGAAACAGGGATAATCATCATCACACCCACTGCACAGGGCTTGGGGGAGGATGGAGTGACTTAATAAATATAAACACTTAGAGCAGCGGCTCTCACCCTGTGGGTCGCAACCCCTTTGGGGGTCGAATGACCCTTTCACAGGGGTCGCCTAAGACCATCGGAAAACACATATGTAATTACATATTGTTTTTGTGATTAATCACTATGCTTTAATTATGTTGAATTTGTAACAATGAAATTGGGGGTCACCACAACATGAGGGACTGTATTAAAGAGTCGCGGCATTAGGAAGGTTGAGAACCACTGACTTAGAGCAATGCCTGGGGCCCAGTAAGTGGGAGAGTCACAGAGCGCCCTGCAGAGGAGTGCCAATAGGAGTTGTGTGGCCAGTGACTTCAGCAGAGGCTGCTTAGGGCCAAAGTTTCATGTGGTCCCCAGGCTGGAAGCACCCCACCCTGATACCGAATCAGAATATCTGGGGAAGGAACTTTAGCCAGCTCACCAGGTGACTCTTGCACACCTTACAGGGTTGGGAAGCTTGCCCTAAGGGAAGTGCTGAAGCCCCCTAGGTGGTAGAAACAGGGGGCCTGGGAGTGGTTACCACGGAGACAGGCTTTTCCCCAGAGGATCACCCAGGGCAATATGGTCGGGATGAGGAGAGATTCACTAAAACCCACCCCCTTGCTGGCCTCCAGGGCCCACTCTCACCACTTGGGTCATCTTGAGGCACAGTTTCTTGTGCGCGGCTGTCAGCATGGCCAGGGCCCCTGCGGCTGCATTCTGCAACTTGTCATCATCCTCCCCGCAGAGCAGTACCACCAGCTTCAGCCGGTCATTCCCATCCGCCAGGAACCTCTCCTGTACCTATGAGAGGAAGGTCCATGGCTCAGAAAAAATGCCCTCACCTGCCCAGCCTGGGAGGGAAAGATGCACCTGAAGCCACACTTCCTGGCCCAGGATCTCTGGGAGCTTTCCTTTGAGCAGCTCACCCATGCCACCTCCCCCTGGAAGTCTTCCCTGATTAGCTGGATGAAGGGGCTAATCTCCTCCAACTAAAA